CTTAATTTTCAATCTATCGTAGAGTGTAGACCCCTTTCATTTGAGACCTCCAATGACATCTCAACGGAGCCATATTTTCATCGAAAAAAATCTTGGGTCTCCAATGAAAAGTTTGGAGTTCCCAATAAAAATCTATGGGTCTTCGATGAGTGTTTGGGATTTCCAATGAAAATCTGGGGGTCTCGGATGAAAATCTGGGAGTCTTAGATGAAAATCTGGGGTCTCAGATGAAAATCTGGAGGTCTCAGATGAAAATCTGGGGGTCTTAGATGAAAATCTAGAGGTTTCTGATGAAAATCTGGAGGTCTCAGATGAAAATCTGGGGGTTTCTAGGTTAAGATGGCTCCAATGATGATGATTTTTTACAATTAATTCAAAACATTTATCTTTTCTTTCCATTTAAATGATGTAATTGCTCGTGTATAATTTAATTTCTCTTATTATTGGTATCCAAGATTTAAAGAAAGTTTTTTTTTACATTTTGTTTAATATCATTTGCTACAGTTGGTCAACATGTGGTTAAAACACACTACCTTGATATCTGTAGATTCATAAGCCACCTTTAAACTCGCATCCTCTGTGTGTAACCCTGTAGTCATAGATTAATAACAACACAGATAGAACACTTGATGTCTACTTTTCAAGATTTAGGGGGTTTTCGTTAAAAATAACCCTGAGGCAGAAGCCCAAAGGAGTTCCGCCAAGGCAGCGCATGCTCTCTCTCTGTCTTGTAATTCAACGCTGAATGCGCGTAACTCTTTTGGGCCTATGCCCGACGAGGTTATACATAGTTTATAGAGTGATGATGTACGCTAATCCTTTACTAATTGTATAGGCCATGAACTATACCGAGAGCGTACTGCATATTTGTTTATTTTAAGCTGATTCTGGCCTAACCTATAGTATATCAATATTAATAAACAGTTGTAAGTGTACAGTACAGCTAACTGAGCACACAGGTAGAGAACTATCATCACCCCAGCTTCTGCCTCAGGGTTATTGAAAAGCAACATCTAGTTTTTTATCTGTGTTGTTATTAATCTATGCCTGTATGATTAATCTATGTGTATGATTAAAATTCTTATCTTTTTTCTCAGTGTTTGTTCAGTTTAATTTTAAGGTTTAAAGTAAAAGAAGTTAAAACAAATAACACCAGAGAAGAATATTTAGATACATCCTCTGCAGAGATTATCCTCAAGAATCTGTGATGGATAAGAAGGAGTGAATCCATTTCTTTCATTTATTTACTTCAGGTTAAATCCATTTCACTGATCAATCTCATTCTTTAAAGGGAGTTGCTAGACATGGTTATAGTTGAGCTGAAAGTGCAGTATTGTAGAGAAAAACTTTAGGATACAATTAATACCAATCAGGGGCTGATCCAGCTCTTTGAAAAGGGGGCATCAAACTCCTAATAAAACCTTGATGGGGAAGGGGGGGAGCACCGAGCAAGGAAGGGGTGCAGGGTGACGAAGCAAAATTAATTTTTTTTAAAGGAATGAGCATTGAATTGAAAGTGAGTATTTTAAGTGCTCAAAATAGCAAATTACTCTTTAAATTTGTAAAAATATTGCTACCTTAGAACTATACTTTCAAAAGAATTGAGTTTTTGTCACAAGCTCTGATTTTCTTATCCCTATATCTTTGCATTTCAATGTCAGAGACCTTAGATATTTCAAACTATGAATAATATTAGATCAAATAAGAATAGTTTGAAATATCAAATGTTAACACCATCAGGTTGCAAAGATATGGCGATTGGAAAATCAGATTTTGTGGCTAAAACTCATTTCCTTTATATACACAAAAAAAAATAGCAAGTAAATTAATTCGAAAATATCTCATCTCAGAAGAATTTTTTTTAACAGTTAGGGGTGTGAGATTTTGTGAAATTTTTCTGAAATCATTGAACAGAAACAAAACTGTATTCTACATGGAATTTTAAGGCATAATTTTCAAATGCATTTTTTACAAAAATCTAAAATGGCTCCCTCAAGTAAGGTTAAGAGATAAAAATATAAAAAAAAACCACTTGTGTAAGTAAAATTTTTAAAATTATTAATTATCGATATGGGTATTATTTAAATCAGCGTGAAAACCGGAGATAAAAACAATTTATTGAGTTCAAAAATATAAAAATTGGGCAAGCTATGGTAAAAAAAATATTTTTCTCAAACTAAATTTTTTAAGTACTCAAAAAATGTGTTTTTTTTGCATTAAATTGGTTCATATTCAATATTTTTGTATTCTGTAATTTGATTTGAATTCGGGAAAACAACACAGTTTCAAAATAACCATGTTTTAAATTTCTGTTTAAAATTTTCATTGGTTTTAGTGTTTTTTACATTTTTTATCACTACAACTCAATTGATGAAGCCATTTCTGATTTTTGTAAAAAAAAATCTTTTTAAACATGCCAATTAGAATTCCAAGTAGAATACAATTTTGCATCTGTAAAATCATTTTTTTAAAGTCACAACTTAAAATCTTTCGGATTGATGAAAATAATAATTTATCAATGAATTACGAAATGAATGACCCTCTGAGGGAACAGCAACACAAAAATTATATTTACGCATTAAAAGAATTTAAAGATTTTGTTCCCTCGGAGAATATAAGCTGATTTGTTCAAACTATTAGTTTTGTTAAAGCACCTTAAAGTATCTACTGGAAAATAAGTTACAGTAAACTTTTAAGTTAGTCTCTAGAAAGGGGGGGGGGATCAAAAGATACTTTTGACCCCCCTTTTGTCGTTTGTAATATTTCACCAGTTGTTTCAGTCAGCAGAGGAAACGTTTATTACAATTATTAAATAACCAGGACAAAACATGAAAAAAGTATCGACTGATTTGCTGTTTTGGAACATATTTCTTAACAGAAATTTTCGATAAAAGCAATAGTATAGAAGAGAAGAATCGATTATTTCATTATCATCATTACCTTTGCTGTTTCTATAATTTGATATTTCTTCAAAATATCGTCTTCACAATTAAGATAAAGAAAACCTCCAACAAGCGACCAGAGCTGAAAGAATTTGCATAAACTGGCGAGGTTATGAAATGAATTTTAATAAATTATTTTCAATGATATAAGTTCATTATTTTCCTCAACATGTTTTTATGTATGCAACTAGTTTGTATGCAACTGCATTTGTTACATGTTTTGTTATTTAAGAATTGTAAAAGAAACTTTCTTCTGGTGACTGAAACAACTGGTGAAATATTAAAAACGACTTTTCGCTCTTATTAAAAGTGAAAGTGTCTCATTGGTATAAAATGAATTCTAAAGTTTTTCTCTACAATACTGCACTTTCAGCTCAACTACCATGTCTAGCAAGTCACTCCCTTTAAATATACATTTAAACTGGTAGAGCATTCTGACTTCAGACTGTACCAGACACCAGTCCAATGCAACCTTCAGGGTGTTCTTTTAATCTTGCCAATTTTCAAATTGCTGTAACTTTGTTATTGTTTGACGTTTTTCAAATCTGTAAAAAAAATTTAAGTGATCAAAATATGAACGTTTTGTTTTATGACTGGATTTACCTCTTTTCTCTACCACGTGTTAAAAATGACCGCCATTTTCATAAATGTATAATTCAGCTCTATTGAATAAAACTAAAGTATTTCGGCGGGGTTGACTTTGAAGAATAATAACTCTTCAACGAAAAGAGGTATCGACAAATTTAAAAACCCTGAGGTAGCTCTTTACCTTAGCTACATTCGTGCAAAAGTTTTATCTAACCCGCCCACCCAAAAAAAGGTGAAACTGCAAGTGAAACGTTTTATCGTAATATACTAGTGTATAAGAAAACTAAATTTTTTTTTCTGCAATACATACATGTTGCGGATATTTTGTTATATTGCAAAACGTTCATATTACAGTTACTCAAATCTATTTACATATTGGAAAAATTTCAAAAAATGACAGAGAAATAACTAATAAAAAATTGTCAGAATTAATGTTAGAAACTTTTCGCACAAGAGATGAATCATGCATTTATGAAAATGGCGGTAATTTTTAACACTTGTTTACGAAAAAGAAGTGAATCCAGTTGTACAACAAAACTTTCATATTTTAATTACTCAAATATTTTTACAGATTTTTACCCTGTATATTATAAAAGTGCATCCATTTTTTTATTTCTCCCTTCTATTTCATACTCCTTGACCTAAACTTTTACGACCTTTTCTAATTAAGAATGGTGTCTACATCTCTCCCTAAGTTCACAAGTGATGAACTTTATGAATATATAAAAGAAGCATTCTACCCTTACAGGACAAATACTCCCAGGTTAATTTTATTTTTTCATGTTCACATATTACAATGTCAACTCTACAAGTAATTATATTTTAACAGATAAATGTTCTTTTATCAAAATTCGGTATTTTTAGGAGGAGTCTAGTGTATCATATAAACGAACTCAGAGATTATCGTGGTATGATTTATTTAATCTTATTTTTGTTGATAAATTACAAAAACTGATAAAACTGAAAAATCATAATGTTTTTTCTTTAACTTTTTTGTCAGATAAAAAAGGGTTAGTGGGGACGGGCGTTTTTAAAACTTAACCTTAAAAAGAATCTTATCTTTTTCAAAGCAATAAAAGATTCTTTTCCAATTTAGAGCTATAAAAATAAGCAAAATGTTCTTTTTTTCCAAAAACAACAAAAACATAGAATTCGATATTTTTTACCAACTTTATTATTGCAACCTTGGACTATTCGACCTTTATCTGAATTCAAAATTTTAAAGATTATGACATCAGGGTCCAAGTTTAATGAATAGTGAGTAGTAGTTGAACCTCATAAACTATGTTTTACCACTTCTCTTTAACTTAAACCGTCGCACAATAAAAAACTTCTTCTCGCTATTCTTTAAAAGAACAAACCCAAATTTTCTAATCCCTATATCTTTGCAATCTGATGGTTTAAACCTTTGATGTTTCAAATTTTTAAATCAATATATTCTACATAATAAAACAAGACATTAATATATATGCTGCGTAGAGCAGGCCAAACGGCTGAACCGATTGGGCAAACAATTTTTGTGGACACTCATTTTTTTATTCTTTATTTCAACATTTTGTTTCCACGGGCAACGCCGGGCCCTTCATTAATATTAATTCCTGTGCAGGTTGGAATGCACTGCACGTAGCATGTGTACATGGAGAATTGGGGATGGTTAAATGGTTGATACATTCCTGTGCATTATCTCCAACCTTTAAAAATAATGATGGAGTCACTCCAATCCACTATGCTATATTTTATGGATATCCTGAGATTGTAGAATTCCTGGTAGAATATGATGGTAGCCTGATCTCAAGTTTAAATGATTCGACTGGTGAGTTTCCTCTCCATGTTGCTCTGAGATGGAATAAACTAGAGATTGCTGACGTTCTACTGACACATGGAGCTAATGTACTCCAGCCTACAGAACAAGGAAAAGAACTCCGAAAAGGACGAACTCCCTTACATATAGCTGTTGAGGGAGAATCCCTGGAATGTCTTGATGAATTATTGAACTATCTAGATGTGGATTCAGTTCACCCAGAACTGAACAAAACTCCAATTCAGATATTTCTTGAGATTGATAAGTTTTATGCCCCTATGACGGATCGTCATGTATGGCAGATAATGGAAAAAATGCTTAGCAAAGGTAAAAAACTAAATACATGAAATAGAAAATAAATTATATTACTATAAAAAAGAATGGACACATTATAGAAGATTTTAGTTTTTACCTTTGGCAAAGAAATTAAAACAATATTTTCAATTTTGGAGATAAATTCAATTATTTAAAAAAAATGGATTTTAAAGGGACTGTTGGCAAAATTCTAGTGACCTTTCATTCCTAGAGTGGCATGTCTGATTCACAACAGTACCCGTTAACTGATTAATGACTGATCAATGAACGTATCCTTATTTATCTAGAGAAATCCTTGGTATTGTCGAAAACTTTGTTTGAAAGCTGTTTATGTTTAAGAGATATTAATATTTACTTTCTTGAACTATAGTTTTCCTCGTCATGATTAATGAAATGTTGGTTACAGTATTTTTATTTATTATCGATTTTTACTCTCGATATGGGTTGAGATCCTAAAAACCCAATCTTTCAATTTGTACCAAATTCTTACACTCAGTGTAAGAAATAAGTCATATCCCCTGCAATTTGAACACCATTTTAGAGATAAAAACTAGGCGTTTTCTGTCCTCTGTGATAAGATGAAGGTTTCAAGTTTACCGATGTAAATTTGGCATTTAACTCTTTGCATGAAGGGTCACTTGAAATTATACTTACAGTCCAATTGTAAGTTGATAAATAATTTCTTGAATTTTTATATTCTTAAGTAATATGATAGAGTTTAAATTGATATTTCACTATTAAAACCTTAATAAATAAAAATCTTAATTCACCTTTATTCTATAAAAGTGTGGCATAATACATAAATATTCCTTAGAAACTTCTCTCTCTAGAAATAATATTAGAATCTGAAATGCATGGGACAAAGCTCTGATACTTTCCTGCTTGTTTGAAGAGCAAGGCATATTCCTGATTTTGAAAATCCAATTTTTATATTTCATTTCACTAAGCTTAAAAGATTTTTTCGTGATGAAAGAATAGGAATAAACTCCTTTACTCGCAGATTAAAGGAATTGAGTTTTTGCAACAAGTTTTTTATTTCCTGTAAATTGGCAACCTGATCGTGTAAACCTTTTATATTTTAAATTTAGATTATTTGAACAGTCATAGAGTTTGTTTGACATATCAAAGTTGTCTGCCATTTGGTTGCAAAGATATAGGGATTTAAAAATCTAAGTTTATGGCAAGAACTCAATTAAACTTTAAAACAACTTTTAAGCTCATTGTCTTGATGATTTGATGGCTAATATTCCCGGGACCTCGGAAAATCTACTTGAAAGCTGCTTCAGACTTGGAAAAAGTAAGTTTCTTTTTACAAAATCATAAGTGTTGTTTTAAAATTTCTATCAAATTCCTAATAAATTCCTAATATAGTAATAATTGTATGATTGTATAACACTCTACTATAATAATTGTATGATTGTAAGGTTTGTAAGGAAAGGTTTATGGATGCTAAGAATTACAAAAAACTTTTCCCAAAAATTTTAGATTTCTGATGAAAAAAATGTGAAACCACAATTAAAAATTTTATTGTGGTTATATTAAAAAATCGAAAATGCTGAAAGATTGAGCAACAATTAAAAGTTGCAAATATGGGCGCGAAGCGCCTTGTAGCCTATTGGAATTTTGGATCAGAGTTATAAATCATGTCTCGCTAGAATAAAGTACATACAGGGTGAGCAAATAAGAAGCTTTCTGTGTGTAAATGCAAAACTTCAATCACCAGAAATGGGTCTAAATAGAGAATTTGGTTGGATGAGTTGTTTGAACAAAAAATTTTAACATTCCTAAAGACCCCAATCAGTAGAAATAGGTTAAACTCAATTTCTTTTATCCCCTCCTGATCCCAAAACACATTCTGACTTGGCATCAAACTTTAAAAAAAAACTTTACAGATGATCTTCCCCTTTCAAATAATACTTTTAATAAAGAAAAAACTATTAATTCACAATTCTAACTCAAAAGAATTCAAGAAGTTGGGTTACATCAATTATCTTATATTCTTATAAAGAAGCTATGAATAGAAATAGAAATAGTATTGATCTTCTCAAAATATTATCAATCTATTGCATAATATTTATGTAAAAAAATCAGTTTGGTTTGGCAAATATCATATGCAGGATTTTACCTGCTTTCAGATTGTTTTTACATTGGCATTTTTAAGGATATATACTTGATATAACGCAATATTTATTAATAATTATTTTGACTCAAACTCTTATCTTAAGGAATTTAGAAAATAATATGCCTGATAAAGAAAGTTTTGTATAAATTAATTTTTTGTTAGGTTTATAGGTCTATTTAGAAAATATGAGAAAAAATTATTTGTGACACCACTAGCTAATAATGTCAACATTATTTACCAAAACCACACTGCAGTCCTTCAATTATTATACAGGGAAATTTTCATCTTTTTTAATATCCCAGGGAAAGATTTGATGCCTGCTTTATTCTATAACTAATTTCATACCTTATAAACAAATTATTAACAATTTCAAATTATATTTAGGTAAATTTTATTTTGATGCTCTAATCAAGATTGTAATCCAAAAAATCATCGATGCTTATGGATCAAATAGAGATAGAATAATAGAATTCACACGCAGTCACCTGTCAGCCGCCTGCAGGGAGAAAAATATGGATTTATGCAAGGAAATCATTGTTTTTTTGAGCGAAGGAACTACATCTACCCAAAAACCTGATATTCATGAACTACATCAGATCATTCACCCTGTAGAGAATGACCATATATTCAACAAGACAGCACTGAACTATGCAATAGGTGCAGATTTGATGGCTAATTATCTTGGGACCTCGGAAAATCCACTTGAAAGATACATCAGACTTGAAAACAGTAAGTTTCTTTTTACAAACTCATAAATGTTGTTTTAAAATTTCTGTTAAATTCCTTATAGTTATATATATAGTAATAATTGTATGTTTGTATAACACTCTACTATATATGTAATAATTGTATGTTTGTATAACACTNCATCAGACTTGAAAACAGTAAGTTTCTTTTTACAAACTCATAAATGTTGTTTTAAAATTTCTGTTAAATTCCTTATAGTTATATATATAGTAATAATTGTATGTTTGTATAACACTCTACTATATATGTAATAATTGTATGTTTGTATAACACTCTACTATATATGTACTTGGAGTTGGACCTCATTTTAGGAACTTTTGTAAAAACTTGGAGCTCAACAATTTACATTTTTTATTCATCTAATTGTCCAGGAACTGATTATTAACTGCAAACTGAAGTTATATGTACTTTGATTTTCTGTCTGTTTGTCTGTTTCTTTGTATCCAATAAATGTTTAAACGCCTGAACCGATCGGGCCCAAATTTTGTGTGACACCTAAAATGACCCCAGGGAAGGTTTAGGGATGCTAAATACAAAAATCATCTCCAAACATTTTTGATTTTTGATGATAAAAATGTGAAACCACAATTAAAATTTTTATTGTGGTTCTAAATCATGTCTTGTTAAAATAAAGTACATACATGGTGAGCAAATAAGAAGCTTTCTGTGTGTAAATGCAAAACTTCAATCACCAGAAATGGGTCTAAATAGAGAATTTGGTAGGATGAGTTGTTTGAACAAAAAAATTGAACATTCCTAAAGACCCCAATCAGTAGAAATAGGTTAAACTCAATTTCTTTTATCCCCTCCTGATCCCAAAACACATTCTGACTTAGCATCAAACTTTAAAAAAAAATTTTACAGATGATCTTCCCCTTTCAAATAATACTTTTGGTAAAGAAAAAACTATTAATTCACAATTCTAACTCAAAAGAATTCAAGAAGTTGGGTTACATCAATTATCTTATTCTTATAAAGAAGCTATGAATAGAAATAGAAATAGTATTGATCTTCTAAAAATATCATCAATCTATTGCATGATATTTATGTAAAAATTTCAGTTTGGTTTGGCAAATATCATTTGCAGAATCTTACCTGCCTTCAGATTGTTTTTACAATTTACAATTTACAATTTTAAAGCAATATTTATTAATGATTATTTTGACTCAAACTCTTATTTTAAGGAATTTAGAAAATAATATGCCTGATTAAGAAAGTTTTTTCTAAAATAAATTTTTTTGTTAGGTTCATAGGTCTATTTAGAAAATATGAGAAAAAGTTATTTGTGACATTATTTGTGAACATTATTCACAAAAACCACACTGCAGGGAAATATCAACAGGGAAATTTTCATCCCAGGGAAAGATTTGACACTTTCTTTATTCCATAACTAATTTCATACCTTATAAACAAATTATTAGCAATTTAAAATTATATTTAGGTGAATTGTATTTTGATGCTCTAATCAAGTTTGGAATCCAAAAAATCATCGATGCTTATGGATCAAATAGAGATAGAATAAAAGAATTCACACGCAGTCATCTGTCAGCCGCCTGCAGGGAGAACAATATGGATTTATGCAGGGAAATCATTGTTTTTTTGAACGAAGGAACTACATCTACGAAAAAACCTGATATTCATGAACTACATCAGATCATTCACTATACTGTAGAGAATCACCATATATTCAGCAAGACAGCACTGAACTATGCAAATCAGTATGATGATAGAGTCTTAGGACTTGAGTTATTACAGCTAGAGAAGCTGGTTCACCTGGACAAAAACAAAGGTCTTTCCTGTATAAAGGAGACCCTAGATAGTGGTCCCCTTCTTTCCTGGATAATACAGAGATACAAAGATTTTTTTCCAGATAAAAACAAATGGAAGACCATTGGTATTGCTGTCTTAACGTTTATAAAGGTGGGGCTCCTTTCTTTTCTTCCTCTCCTTGTTGATCTCATCTCGGACATTAATCTTGCCTCTGACTATGCAAGGTTTGGTTTCAGTAATGAAACTGTTGCCAATGAAGAGATTATCTGGAATTGTACTTCCTCTGTAAGTTCTTCAGCTCTGGATTCTTCATGCTTTAAGTTTATTTATGTTCTTGTGTTGTGGATTCTTGGAATAGTATTCCAGGCAAGTTATATTTAAAAAACTTTAATGACACTACTAGTACTAGGTGTTAAATAATTGGGCAGGAAGGCAGGATGCCAATAGCCACAAAAATTATCCATTATCCATGTGTTACAATCATAAAAAGCAAGGACATGTGAATATGTGTGGCGCATGGCTACTGGAAGTCAAAAAGGTTCAAATTTTGCAAGTAACTAAAAATTATTGTGGTTCACATCCGACTGCCCTCCCAAGTTGACATCTAATTAAAAATAGGAAATAATATTTCCAAAATTCTCCAGGAGATTAGTGTTAGAATTTAGATTTTTGAATTTGAAGAAAGAATTGCATTTAGTGTTCTTGAGATGGAATTTAAAGAATTTGAGCCGCGTTTTAAATCTGCCAAAACCTGGTTTAAACTAAGCACCGGCTTAAATCTTGAAACATATGATACAATTATATGTGGTACCAACCATATTTAAGCCACAGCTTAAACTTAAACCGCCTCTCAAATTCTTTAAATTCGGCCATTGATTTAAAAAATAATTAAACAGGAGTAAATCCAGTAGATCAGAGAACCATCGAAATTTGATATTCAATGAGTATTTACCCATTTTCTCTGCTGGTTCTTCGGAAATCCACTATGACATATTTTTAGCTATTAGACTTTTTGAGATTAATCTGTTTTCTATTTTAAGTGTTGTAGGTGTTCCCTTAAATCTAGAATGAACGAATTTTACCTGTGCATTGTGCATTGTTATATGACTAGAGACAGGCATAAAATCAACTTGAACTTAAATCCAATTTGAATTTAACCACTAATCTTCTTGGCATTTTTCTTAATCAAGTTGAGAATTTTATTGTTTTAATTTTTAGATTCTCCACTACAAATTTGCACATCAATGGTCAGATTTAAATGGTGTCACCGGAATAAGCAGAGTAAAAGGATGGTTTGAAAGGAATGAGATTCTCCCCTTGCTTAATTTAGAGAGCAACACATCGACTCAAGCTACAGGTCTAGAAGATGTGTGAAGATGTGGGATCGATCACTGTTAAAACCTGGACAATTTAGTTACAGGTTCTATCTAATTCAATAGTTTTGGAGATAATATGGATCCAGTTATTGCTTCAAATCAATATGAAAACTATTAATGTTTGTAACAGGTCCTATATATAGTTATTATTTTGTTCTTTGAATAACGTATTTTGGAAACAGTGATTGCTACAAGATCACTATGAAAACTATTCATTTCAGTAGCAGGTCCTATATTATTATTGGATAACTATGACATGGAACCTGTTATTATCACACACTGATCATTATAAACCTAAACAGGTTCTATCTTGGTTCATAGTTGCTTGGATAACTATGACTTGGAACCTGTTATTATCACAGACTGATCATTATAAACCTAAACAGGTTCTATCTTGGTTCATAACTGCTTGGATAACTATGACTTAGGGAAAGCTTGGTTCCCAAGCTAGTTACAAATAATATTTAGGGAAAGCTGGGTTCCCAAGCTTGGTAAAAATTATTTTTCGACAGTTAACATTTTGGCAAGTTTAAATTTAGAGTTGGCAGTTTCGCCGATTATTCAATTTGCCAGGTGGAGATTAACCAGTTGGTACTTTCTACCCACTAAGAAAACAAAAGCATTTGAAATAATTTTTATATTTGAACTGATTAGTAATTGATAAAGAATTGCAAATCTTCAGTTGGAAGTTGGAACAAGAAAATAGCAAAGTAGGAAGACGACTTTTCAACTTCAGTAAAGATATTAAATAGGTAAAATAAGTCAACATGATACACAGCATTTGTGTAGTGTTGCACAGGCCCAGTTCATGAGTTGATTTTCCAATAGATTTCCAGATCAAATAAAAAGATTTCTTAAATTCTGTCTTCCTACAGTGATAACCAGAAAGCTCTGTAATCAAAAGACGACTTTTAGAGTCAAGTTTTAACGTGAAATAGTTCATTGAGCATGAGACATATAGCTTTATGGTGGTAAATAGGCCTATTTTACTTAATCAGTGATATAATAAGTTCTTGCAAAACTATTTGCTTTGTAACAACTTCAAATTCACTTAAATATTGTTATAAAGTCGTCTTCCTATTTCAGAGTTGTCTGGTTATCACTGTGATTGATTGATTTTTTTAACATCGTTTTACATACTTACTTTTAATTCTTTGAGGACAAAATTAAATTTTCTGATATAAATCAAAAGCGTTAACTATTTACCGGAAGATACAGGGTAAACCACAAAGGATGAGATGAGACTTCAGAGTCAATTCTACGGAATTCATACTGTCTGTTTCTTCTGGTGAATTTCAATCATCAATTCTTGGTTTTTTGACTCCCACCCTCGTCGTCTTGAACGCAATAACCGTTAGTAGATGGACAGTCACACAAACTGTGTCAAAAATGCCGCGAAATGACTAAATTTTGACATTGTAAAATTGTTGAACTGCATTTAATTAATCATAAGAACAATTTCATAAATTAACTTGACTTAATATATAGATTTTTAATTATCATCACATCAGTTGCAATTTTCGATTAATCTGTCCTTTTGATTCATCACTACAAATCTCTAGCGTGGGAAACAAGAATGATGAACGCTCATTGGTTTACAATTCTGAGTGGTGAATCTACATAAGTTAGATAGATAGTTGCAAAAACGACGTTAAAATGCCGCGAAATACCGAAACTTTAATATAACAAATTGTTAGACTGCATTTATTTAGTCATGAAAACAATTTTCTTCAATACCTCAGCTTAAAACTAAGATTTTCAATTATCCTAAAATTGGTTTCAAAATTTGATTAAACAATAATTTTGATTCATCAAGATTGAAACATGATTTGCTGTATTCTAATTGGATTACACGTCTAAGTAGTACTGAATCTACATCAAAATTGTTAGGTTCTGCAAAACAAATCAAAAATATCTATAATATTTCTTACAATGAAATAAATGTAACCTAAAATTTAGTAATTCAAATTTGATTGTCTTATAAAAAATTCTCCTTCTATTTACAACGACAGTGGTCATGTATCTAGAGATACGACTTACACCGGCTAGGGTAGTTGGTTCGCGCCCTGCTACAGCAATAATTTTATCGATGGAATTACTTAAATCTTATACATTAGAACTAATTTAACAGGAATTTCTACAAGCCACTGTAGCTCAGTGGCAGGGTCTGTGCACCCATTGGCATGACTTGTTTGATTAGAAAGGCTGATATTTCTTGACCTTGTTCTACGACTGGTGGCATATGCCTCGCAAATTATTTCGTAACAATCAGGAGGTCTGTAGTAAACCAGACCTCTAATGATTGCGATGTAGTATGCACGGGTCCCGCGACCCCTGGAGAACTGAACTTGGAAGGATGGAATGACTCGGCGATTTCTTCTAACTGCTTGAAATGTCAATGGCCCTTGGGAGCCCTTTCAATTCCATTTTCAAAATATTTATTCTCCTTGTTCATAGTTTCCACCATTCTTCTAGTGGGAAGGATCGAACTTGAGTTCAATCATTAAGAAAGCAGCTTGATGGCAATGAGCTAATTATTCTCTACATATGTTATGTTAAATTAGACTTAGATATCAGTAAAAGGAATTTTTTTGCAATTTTTTTTCGCAAAACTTGTGCAATTCGTTTTCTTATTTCCAAAAAGCTAAATTTTATCGAAATCTGACAAGTCAAAACAAAGATTTAGTTTGTTACAGGAAAAAACAGTCATTCAGGCGGTGTGCCTGAGGACTCAGGCAGTTAGTATTAAAGCCCGGTTTTAGGCCTAAAGGGAGGGCTTTGGGTATGTATCAGGAAATATTATTGTGGAATTCTTTTCTCCAGAGATAGAACTTAGCGTCTGAAACAAAAATTATTCAAGGAACTGAAATCTATGGAAGGTCATGACCTATTCACAAAGGTGCTATGTCTGAGCAAGGAGAACTGAGCTCACTTTATTATTCTAGCTTAAATTGGGTTCGAGTACACAATGTGTTGTATGAGGTAGGGAACCCCTGGACGCCATGAGCCTCTGCTATGCAGACACGAGCCTCACAAATGTGCAGACCGGGCCCCCACTATGCAGACCAAGCCTCTGCTATGCAGAGCGTGCCGTGAACGTATAAAATGCCTTTTTTTGCTGAAAAATAGGTGAATTTTTTAATAACATAGGTATGTATGGTAGTAAGCAGATACTTTTCTTTTAAAACTATAAGATTTTTTGTAAAATCATGATTAAAAAAAAAATATTTAGCAAGAAATTCAACTTTAAAAATCTTTAAATTGCCTTTTTTTTTTCTTTAAGACTTGCTTAAGTTTTTGTCTTGGAAGTGACGGTAGTTTGAAAATGAAAAAAAATAATAAATGTTGAAATTTTATTTTTCAATTCCCCACTACCCTCACTACCACCGACAAGTTGAAACTTTTTTTCAACATTTATTCAATTATTTTATTTTTCAATTCCCCACTACCCTCACTACCACCGACAAGTTGAAACTTTTTAATCAACATTTATTCAAGAATTTAGTTTCAATTCCCCACTACCCTGAATTCTACCATTTATATACAAATCAATACACATCTTAATTTTTAAAATTTAAATTATTACTACTTTAACTACCTTCTATTTACCTCACATAAAGCTAATGTGAAAAATAAGGCATTTTATACATACAGGAGCGTGCCTCCACTATGCAGTAAACGAGTCTCCACAAATAAGCACAGCTAATTTAAATCTTGGTTTTTATGTGTAATGAAAAATTTTTGCAATTTTTTTGACGTAGTGGCATACAAATTTTTCTTAAAATTATCGAGTTATTTATTGATTGTCATGATTAGAAACATATATGGACTCATAAAGTGGTTTATAAGATTTATACTAAAACTTTAAACATTTCTTACGCAGAAAGGAAGATGTTTGGAGAAATATTTCTGCAGTAAATTTAGTTAATTTTGTTGTAATCTTTGATTTAAACAATAACTTTTTTTGAAAAATGTTAAGATTTAAATAAATGATACCAATTTTTTAGATTTAATTTGAACTAGATATAGAATGTATCGCTTAAATTAAAGATTATAAAAGATGAAATGAAATTCAAATTTTTTCTTTAAGTATTTTCCTTTTAATGTAAAAAATGCTTAAAGTTTTATACCACTTTTTTAGTTATAATTAGGCACGATTTATGATAATTGATAAATACTTCTCATTTTTGAGAAACCTCTCATGCCATTATGTCGAAAAATTTGAAAAAATCTTTTACCTAAACTTAATACACAATGTATTACAACCTCATGTATTATACAGGCACATTTTTTTGCATTGCGCATGCTCATATCTGCGAAGCGGAGGCTCGGTCTGCCTAGCAAATCTGGGAGGCTCGTTTCTGCCTAGCAAATCGCGGAGGCTTGTTTCTGCCTAGCAAATCGCGGAGGCTTGGTGTGCCTATCAAATCTGGGAGGCTCGTTTCTGCCTATCAAATCTGGGAGGCTCGTGTCCGCCTAGCAAATCGCGGAGGCTCATGGCATCCGGGCGTTCCCTCCTCGTACTTTATAAAAACTATCATGTTAACATTTTCGTAAATTTTTTATTTCAGAGATCTGAAGAAAAAAACATGATTTGTTGTAAATAAAAATTACTATTTTTATTAGTTTTTTCAAATTTTCAAATATTGGATAAATACAAACACACAAAGCTATCGATAATAAATTAATGCAATATAAAAAATCTAATCACATAATCAAATAAATTACAAGCACGGTTTGTGAAAATAAGTTTGTTAAAAACAATTGTTTAAAAAAAAATATAATTTTTCATTAAAATATAACTAAATATTATTTTTTCCTTTTAGTTTGAAATCTATTAAAATAAAGTTGATTAACTCAAAAATGATATCTTAAGTATATATATTTTAGATGAAAATTACTTTGTAATTCATAAACGTTTCCAACAAATTGTATATTTTAAACACAGTGCACATTTTAAATATATTAAATTTGATCTTTTTGAAATATTGAATATTT